CCATGTGAGCTTTGTTGCTTCTGAGCTAGATGGCCACTTGTTTACCTTCAAGCCTTTAAGACCCCAGACGCTATATCTTTTGATAGCTGGGCTCCATCAGCTTTCTTCACCATGTTTGCTTATGCACCCGCTCAACTTTATAACATTTTCATCACCTCAAAATGAACCTTTGTACCCATTAGCATCCACTCTCTCTCTTCTGCCTCCAGCTCCTGGAAACCACTAATGTACTTTCAGTTTCTATGGAGCTAGCTATTTTGTATATTCCATAGAAGTGGAATTGTACAATATGACTGGCTTCTTTTACTTACGATAATGTTCTCATGATTCACCCATGTTGTAGTATGTCTCCGTTTTTCATTCCTTTTTTTGAAAGTGGGGACTTTTTTTTAGCATTGGGATATATTTATCCTCAAAGTGCACAATTTAGTGTTTTTTAGTATATTCACAGAGCTGTGCAAATATCACCACTATCTAATTCCTGGTGCATAACAGGTTGCACGTTAGGCTGCTAACCCCAAGGTCAGCAGTTCAAAACCGCCAGTCCTCTAAAGACTGCCAGTCTCAGGGACCCATGAGTCAGCATGCACTTGGTGGCAGGGAGCTGACGGAATTCCAGACGATTTTTATCACCTCTACAGAAGCTCTCTGTGCCTGTTAGCACGCATACCCGATCTCTGGCACCTGGCAACAACTAATCTATTTATGGTGTTGTCCAGATGTTTTATATTAAAGGAATTTTACACCATGCAGCCTTTTATCCTTGGCTTCTTTCTCTTAGCCCAATATTTTCAAGATGCATTCATGTTGTGGTATATATCAATACTTCATTCCCCTGACTATATTTTATTTGTAAAATTATGGTAAGAGTTTATATATGTTTAAACACCAAGAATACATGGAAACGTTTGGATATATATTGTTGATGATGTTAAATATCTCACTTTATCGGAAAAGCCTTCCCTAATAACCCCAAAGGAATATAAACCCTGCATTTATATGCCCTCTTATAACACCTTAGGGTGATCTGATTATGTTGTGGTGTAACTCGCTGCTTCCCAGGCTGCATTTTTGTTATGCAGTGAGATCCTTGATTTGGGGGGGGGGGATGCCTTTTGTCTCTGTATCCCTGGTGCCTTCCAGTGGCTCAGACCAACATACCCAACACGGACAAATGTTTTTTTCAGTGAATGAATGATTATTCATCCCACACTTAAACAGCCGTAAGAAACCTAGTAGTGTTCTTGAAGGAATGATTTTAGGAAAACAGATTCCCCTTGTGGGGGCCGTGGGGGGACATTGTGGAATGGAAGATTCTGATTGCCAACATGGATTTGACCTAGGGGCAAATTGTTTTCTGCTTTAGGGGCTTGAACGAGGCGTCTCCACAAACTGAAATGTATGCTTGTCTTCAGCTACTGGCTTCCACTGTCCTCTGGGCGCTAGTCCATCCTTGACAGTGCGTTCCTGTGTATTAACCTGTGTATTTTTCTTCCTCTCTTTCAAGTAGCCTGTGACTCCCTGGTTGACACTGTGTTCAATACAGTCTGGACTTTGGGCTGCCGGCCCTTTATGAACAGTCAGCGGGCAGCGTGCATCTGTGCAGAGGAGGAGAAACAAGAGTTATGAGCAAGAGGCCATGGCTTCCTCTTTGAGGGACGACACAGCTGTGGGTCTTGGAGATGGTAGTGGGGCGGACGTGCCCCTCCTGTCTTCCACAGCCTGTATAGCACAAAGCAGGAGAAAGGAAGTACTCTTATCCAGCAGGAAACTGAGACACAGCCTTCAGGGAGAATTGGAAAAGAGACAAGGAATGATTTGAAGGCTGCTACCACTGGTCTCCTCAATGAAGACGCGTTTGCCTGGACGTTCAGTGCTTTGCTTAAAGGCGAAAGCGCGCACAGCCCTGAGATTCCTGGACTCGGTCCTCACAATCAGAGGTGAATTGGGGGGCGTCCAACCACGGGGAGGCAATGTCCTTCCTCTGCTCCGTGTTCAGTTGCCAGTGAGCATCGAATAAAGTGTACTTTTTAGTTCTGTTGTGCATGGAGTCGCTGTGGGTCGGAACCAGCTGGATGGCGCCTAACAACCACTTTCTAGACAGTGTGAAGGTAGATGGATTCCGTGACTGCTGTGACGGTTCCATTTCATGTAGAACAGACAACCTGGTACATCACACCAACGCTGACATGACTGCCACTGGCGCTGAAGACGCGACATTGAAACGAAGAAAAACCAGAGGAAAACCGGTGGACTAGGTAAGAGGCTTGCCTCATTAAGACCATTGGAGGTGAAGCTCAGGTGGAGTTAGGTCTCTGGGGAGTAAGTGACAAATGACCAGCCCTTAAATTGTGGTTCTCACCCCGAGTGCAGATTAGAACCACTTGAGGAGTTTAAACACGCACACACACACACACACACACACACACACACACACACACACACACTACCACCACCACTGACAACAACAAACAAAAATAATAACAGTCCCCCAACCCCCACTCTTGGGCTCACTCATAGCCATCAAGTCGTTGCCGACTCACAGCGACCGCATAGGACTGGGTAGAACTGTCTTTGTGAGTTTCCCAGACGGTGACTCCTGGTGGGAGTAGAAAGCCCCGTCTGTCTCATGAGGAGTGGTTGGTGGTTTTGAACTGCCAACCTTGCAGATCACAGCCGATCACGGACCCATTATGCCACCAGGGCACCTTCCTCTCAGGGAGATGCCTATTCATTGGCAAGTGACGGACATTGCCTGGGGGATTCTCAGCTACGCAGAGGCGTGAGGAGCACTGAGCTGGATCGGGAATTCGGACAGCCCTGCAGAGAGGCCAATCTGGCCTAAGGCCCGTTCATAGAGTAGAGGCGCCAGAGGCTCTGACTGACCGCCCGGCTGCACCCACAGGATCACAGCCGAGTTGATATTTACCATTGGACCCTGTGGGTGATTTTCTACATCCAGATATTTTATCCTTTCTCTTTCTTTTGCTAAGTTCCCTGGTTCTTTAAGAAGTTTTAAAAACAGTTTTATTGACATATAATTCACATTAAGAATTGTTGATTAAAAAAAGAAAGAAAGAAAATATTCTGAAATTGATTGTGGTAATGATTGTACAATTTCTCTTGATACGATTGAATGATTGAATTGTGTGATGTGGATTATGGCCAATAAAACTAAAAAAAAGAATTGTGATTGTAGCATTTTAAGAATATGAATAAAAACCAATTCTTCTGACCTTATTGAAGCCATAAAATAATTTGCATAGTAAAAATTGGATTTAACTATAGGTAAAATTTATCTCTGGGTTAAGACTTGGGGTTAGGGTAAGGGTAGAGTTAGGATAAATAAAAAAAAATGTTATCTCTGGAGGGTAGGATATTTATTTCAATAAAATTTGTCATGCGTCTGCAATACCAAATAAGAGCACAGAAGTGCAAAGCTTTAATTTTGCTCACAGTTCAGTCGTTTAACCATTCACATGGATATTAATTAATTTATCAACATAAAGTGAAGACATCATTTAAGGCAATGTAAAAACATCAAAACAAAATATATCGCCCGAGAAAAAACCCAAAAAGCATTTTCAAAAATAATTACCCACTGCTATATTGATGAATTTTAATGAAAATTTCTGAGGATGATTATTACTTATGTGAATAAAGCATCATTGGGATTTTATTTATAATTCCAAACAACAATTTAATTAACGGTTATTTCTCATTTGAAATGTTGTACACAATTCCGGTTTCTGTGCTCCTACTGCGTTGTGCTTTCTTGCAGGAAAGAGAGTTTAGCTTTCAACATGAGAAAGAGGTTCCATCCGGGTCTCATCACTGAGCAGGGCTGGGGACAGGTTTCTGCCAACTTCTCCAACTCGGAGCAGAGTTTGAATAAACTCACAGTATGAGACTCGGAAAAGGTCGATTTTCTAGGATGTTGACTGGTGTTCGCCGAGGGTGGAGGGTGATGTTCCAAGGAGGAGGCCAGCTAGGGGTCGGGCCTCACGGTGCTGTGTGTCCACTAGTTCCCCCAGTCAATGATGATGGGGCCGCCAGTCAGCACCTTGTTCTGTACATCATCCGTCTCCTCGCCCGCTGTGTCCCGACGCATCCGCCGATGGCAGCCTTGGGCACAGCGGGACCGCTCATCCAGCATTCCGCAGACGAGCACCCGGCAGTGCAGAAACACTTTCTGAAAAGATGGTCACCATAACTAATAAAACCAGCACCATCTCCCTCGTTTTGAGCACTTAGGTTAAGCCACACTACTAATCTACTAATCTTCACAACGACCTTTTAAGGTTAATGGTATTGGTTGTCGGGCCCATCTTACTGATGAGAACATTGAGGCTTTGAGTTTAAGGGGTTGCCCAAATTCACACACCCAGCACAGTGGCAACGTTGGAACTTGGGTCATATGTATGATGTTAACTTCTGTGTTGTTCTGGACACAGGAGAGACTTTTACAAGGACGACATCTTTACAAGGTTAGTTAACATCTTCATTCTTCTCAAGGCCTGGGCTCCTATGCACCTCTGTAGTAAAATGACACGTCTTTTCTCTAATCAGCTTTTAATACGTAACTACTCAAAGCTCACTCCCTAGCTGAGGAGAGAGATCAGGATTAGCCATCATTCTTCAGATTGTTCTAGAACAATGATGTAGCCGGAAAGAACATGAATACTACTAGAGCAGAATGTTGGCCTCCAACTTCCTTTGTTTAAATGTTTCAGCAACTGCTCTTAAAACACTCCAATCCCTCCACCTTGACACAGCGATAGCCTTTCTATACAATCTCTCATCACCTCTACCGTGTGTGTGTGTGTGTGTGTGTGTGTGTGTGTGTGTGTGTATGCATTTTTGGTAGCATATGCAGAGTTACTAGGGTTCATTTTATGATTGACCATAAACTTTTTTTCATATTTATGGGTTTTTTTCATACTTATTATTTTAATGACAACTTAATATTGCATTAAATAGACTGACTGTTTGGGGATACCCTTGCCTTTATACTTCCAACAAACTGAAAAAAACTTTTTGAGAAACTCCAAGAATTAGAAGTTTTAGGTAAAAGAATAGAATTATTACTACATTCTGTTGTCTAGAAAGCACACCAATTTATACTGCTCCTATACACCTCACCCTATAACCTCAAGCATTGAAATGTATGCTTTTTTAAAATAAACTCGATATACACAAAAGGGTGTTTAATAAGCCATTTAGCTGGCATGTTAAGTGCTATTTTCCTTGAACATTTTACTATTTGTCTTTTCTGGGTGCTTGCTGTCTCTATCCTTGGCTGCGTGCCTACCTTACTGCTTTTTCGCCCATACCTGCCCATAAAGATTTAAAATTTCAATCATGCGGCATGATTTTATTTTTTTTAACCAGCATGGCTATTTCATTGGGAGGTCAGATGATTGTGCCGCTAAGGAAGTTGTGACAGCAATGACGTTGGGAAGCGTGTGGACCGTCCGTGCTGTCTTACCGTAGTTTGCGTAAGTGATACCGTAGCTCTCACCTGGGGCTCTCAGAACGTCCCCACACCGAGGCGCCTAGAAGGGGGGTCTGGTTACAAGGGGACGCCCACCTTGTGATCCTTGCCCACGAACTTGAAGACGGGGACCTGGAAGTGTTTTGCGAGGCGGTCCCGAGCTGTGTACTGCTTCACCGAGTCATCGGACACGCAGCTGAAAGAGAACGGAGAAGCTCGGCAGGCTGGATGGTGCCAGCCGACGTGGAGAACCAAGCCCGTCCAGCGCTTGGCCCACAGAGAGGTCAACGGGGTGGAGGAGGCTGGGCGTCACTCAAGCATGCAGAGAAAAATGCAACCCCTCCCGGTGCAGGCCTCCTCATGAATGTCTGTTCTGTCAATCATCCGCCCCCACACACCAGGCAGGCGGGCTTCCAGTTGAATCCGAGTGTTTATTAAAATTGTATAGTAATAGCAACATCATTGATTTAAAAGATACCTTTTACTGAAAAAGCTGTGTTCTCAATGATAATATATGAGGGGGCCTTCCAAAAGTATGTGGGCCAGTGGAAGGAAAAATGATGAATTTTTTCCAGGAGCTTTTCAAAGGCCTCTCATAACGTAGAAATTCTGCCTTCGTGCACTTCCCTATCAGTTTGAGAAGGCTTTAAAGTTAACCCTTACGGGCCCCTAGTATACACCACATCCACTAGGAGCCCCTGTAACGTGGGGGCTGTGCCAGGTCATCACCAGCGGCTCCGCTGGAGAGAGGCCGGCTTTCCACTCCCAACCAGTCAGTCTGGGAGCTCCCAGGGGACAGTTCTACCTTGTCCTCTCGGGTCACTGTGAGTCGGCATCCACTCGATGGCAGGGGTGTTTTGGGTTGTTTTTTTTAATAAACACCAACTCCTGAATGAGATCCACAGGCAAGCAGCCGTGGTTCTAGACGTCCAGACCGCGTGAATACCTATGCGGCTTCGGGCACTGCTGCTTCTACTGCAGCGACTCTTCCCCTGCAAAGTCCGCGGCTTTCAGTGAAACTTTTAGGTTTCCCTGGGGATTCGCTGGGGGAAAGACATTTCATTGGCTCTTCCTTCTGGGGCCATGGCTTTATCTGTTTATGGACTTTCCCCCCCAAAGGCATTTTTCATCCTGAATTCTGAAGAAATTAAAACAAAAAAACTTCTTGGAAGAGTTTTTTGTTGTTGTTTAAATGAATGCCTACTACTCCCTATCCATCAGGCTAAGGAAGGGTTGGGGTCAGCTAGGAGAGCCTGTGAAACTGGCTACTGATTCCACATGCTTCTAAACTGCTTTCTGTTGGGTCATTGCTGTTTGGGTGCAGGTGAAAAACTCAATAAAACGATTTTAAAATGAGACCTTTTGACTTATATTACTACTAGTCCCTACTCCACTGAACTAAATAGGAGCTAAATATAAAATGTGGTCACTGTTACATCTTATACTTATTTACTCACCTTCCCTCTTCCAGAGGTGAAATTCAATTTATCTCATCTTCTGCTTATCTTCTATACCAAATATCTGTTGCATACCTAATCTGTGCACAACACTCTGCTAGGTGCCGCATGGGATATTAAAGAAATAATATTCTCTATGATGTCAAGAAATTTAGACTCTGTTATCTATTGTTATAATAGTAACATTTAATATTAAGTGATACTTTTCATCTAAGTGGCTCAGCATTTCAATTTATTTTTACCTAAAAATGTTTATGGTTCAGACAGAGTGTATCAGAAAGTAAATTAATACAGATATACTTACTGCCATTGAGTCAAATCAGACTCAGAGTGACCTTCTACGACAGAGTAGAATGCTCCCATGGATTTGTACCTCTTTACGGGAGGAGAAAGCCTCATCTATCTCTGAGAAGCGGCTGGTGGTTTCAAACTGCTGACCTCGGGGTGAGTAGCCCAGCACACCACCAGAACACCACCAGGGCTCCTAATACAGATATGGTTAAGTGAAACGTTAACATCTTATCATTTGTTTTTCCTTTTGACCTTTTTTTATTCTTGTTTTTATTATTTTCTTTTTTCTTCTGGAGTGAGCTTTATCTGTTTTGTTTTGTAGCTGTGCCTCTCTTTTTGCGAGATCCACGATAGGTAAATCTATGCAGCCAGGAGCTAGATGCAAAGTGCCTTGGGGTGATGTGCAGGGAAAGACGACCGGCTTGAGCCCTGGCAGGAGACGAGCAGGAGCGGGGAGTGGCGAAGACAGAAGTAGAGTGAAGGGCCCGGTGAGTGTGGAGTTTACATCATAACTGGCCTGCTAGGGATGGGACTGCGTGCCTGCTTACTAGAGAGACCCACCCGCTGATGGCTTTTCAGTGCTTGTGCACGCTTTTTAACAAATTTAATTTCTCCTACAGCTTTTTTTTTGTGGTTACAATATATGTGTTAAGGGCTAGAAAATGAAATTACTCAGCTTTTTAAACTGTCTAAAATAAACGGAGTTTTTAAAGTTAGGGTCTGGCTTGTGATATATAACTTGACAAGCTTTATTGAGACTGCAACTTACATATTTTTCTAGTAAATAAATTTTGATAATGTCTTTATTTTTTGTAGAAAGTAAATATGACGGGTCAGAGACAATTTTTCAGGTGACCGAAATGTTCATTGTACTGATCGTCTAGTGCACTGGTTCTCAACCTTCCTGATGCCACGACCCTTTAATACAGTTCCACATGTTGTGGTGACCCCCAACCATAAAATTATTTTTGTTGCTACTTCATCGATGTAATTTTGCTCATGTTATGAACGGGCGACCCCTGTGAAAGGGTCGTTCGACCCCCCCAAGGGGTTGCGACCCACAGGTTGAGGACCGCTGTTTTAGCGGGTACATATGTCAAAACTTAACATTTCACACACTTTAAATGTGTATCATTATTGCGTGTGAATCAAACTCAAATTCAAACTCACTGCCATCGAGTCAATGCTGATTCATGGTGCCCCTGCAGGACAGGTGAGTCTCCAGGACAGTGGCTGGGGGAGGGGGAAGCCCCGGCTTTCTCACCTGGAGTGGCTGGGGCTTCCAACCACCCGCCTTGCTATGAGCAGTGCAGTGAGTAAACCACTTCACCCAGGGCTCTTCTAGAGCTGTACAAGTCAAATAAAACCCAAAACTCCTAACTCCGTAACCTACTTAGCATGAAGTGTGACTCAAAGTTATTGAAAAAAAAAATTTTTTTTTTAAATTTTAAACTTTCTAGCCATTAGGTTAAGATGGCAAGACACCCAGAAAGTCTGGTCATGCCAGCAGCTCAGCAGGACAAATTCCCCATATTATGAACTGAGCTAAGGAGGCGCCGGAAGTTGAGGCTCGACATAGTCCCTTTATAAGATTTACCAACAGAATGAAATACAGAGCCAGGAAAGGTAGCCAGCAGGGATGTGACAAGATTATGTTTTCCTTTAGATTACCCAGGGTGCTCTGTGAAGTGGAGGTCTCAGAGCTAAGATTTAGGAGCCTGTTTTAGGAAACTAAACAACTCCCTGGGTATTATAGTGGTTAAGCACTTGGCTGTGACTTGAAAGGTTGGCAGTTCAAATGCGCCCACAGCTGCTCTGCAGGAGGAATCTGTGGCAGTCTGTCTGCTCCTGTAAAGATTATCGCCTTGGAAACCTGAAGGGGCAGTTCCACTCGGTTCTAAAGCGTTGCTATGAGTGGGAATTGATTGGATGGTAAAGAGTTTTTGACAAGGCGGCTATTTTCGTTATCCCGGTAAAAGGAAATGAGGGTCAAATCCACAGGTCAAAGGAGTGGAGAAGATGCAATGAAGCCGGAACATTGTTTTCGTTTGTTTCCTTTTTTAAAACTTTCTAATGTACATCAGGAGTTGAAAATCTCAACGGAAGAGACTAACGGCAGCAGGTGAAGGTTGCTTGTGTGGAGAGACCGGAAGGAGCAAAAGCCAAGCGGAAACTTCAAAGCGCCTCAAGGTCGCCCAGCAAAGGGCAAGCCCCGGAGGCACATTTGCCCGCTCTTACCAGCCCACTCCTCTGTTTATTACGTTGCAGTGCTCCACCGACCTACCCGCGGCTGACCCAGCTGACATTTAGAACATGGAAAACGGTGCTGACATATCGCTGTCAGTTTTGGGCTTGAAGGTGATTTTCCTTGGCATTTAAGCAGTGCTTGTGAAAGCGGGTAGCCTTCTAATGACACCTCAGACCTACAGCTCCCATCCCAAGGGTCTTTAGGAGATGTCACGGACACCGTATTACTCGGAGAGCCCATCAACCCACGCAAGCAATAACAAGCACACGAGATCTTTCGTCTCCTGCAACCTGCCCAGTAGCTCTCCTCTCTCCCTCACTCCCAAACGTCTCAAAAGAGGAGTCTAGATTTACTATTCTGATTGCCCACGTGCTTTTAAACCCCTAGAATAAAGAATCGGCCCCCACCTACTATTCTATTCATATAGAATGTCAGGGAGGGGGGGGAATGCTTGTCTTCTACACAGGACATTCATGGCCTTAGGTAAATCCGCTGCACAAGATCTCTTTAAAGTGTTGAAAAGCAAGGAGGTTACTTTGAGGATTCAGGTGCATCTGACCTATGCCATGATATTTCCAATCGCCTCATATGCATGTGAAAGTTGGGCACTGAATAATGAAGACCAAGGGAAAATTGATGAACTTGAACTACGGTGTTGGGGAAGAATACTGAAAGTCCCGTGGACTGCCAAAGTACAAACAAATCTGTCTTGGAAGAAGTACAGCCAGAATGCTCCTTAGAGGCAAGGATGGTGAGACTTGGCCTCTTGTGCTTTGGGCATGTTGTCAGGAGAGACCAGTCCCTGGGGAAGGACATTATGCGTGGTAAAGTAGAAGGCCCTCAAAGTGGTGGACTGACATAGAGGCCGCACCAATGGGCTCAACCCTTGTGAGGATGGCGCAAGGCCAGGCGGTGCTTCATTCTGCTGTACACATGGTCGCTGGGAGCCGGAATTGACTCGAAGGCACCTGGCCACCACACGTGGGAGACCTGGACTGTGTGCCTGCACTTCATGCCCATCTGTCCCTGGAAGGTTCACGCAGACTATGATGCTGAACAGGTTTCCGCATTGCTGCGGACTGAAAATGGACCAGAAAGAATGGCCTGGTGATGAACTTCCGAAACCCGGCCAGTGAGAACCCTATGGGTGTGTCACCAGCCCTGGGCGCGCTGCAGCACCTAACAGCCCCCTCTCTCTAGCACGATCACCCAGCCTGGAGTTTCAGCTGAAACTGGACAAGCCGAGCGCCGGTCTTTCTCTCTCGACCCGACCTTGTTCCTGGGTCTAAAAGTGAGAACGATTTCCAGCTGGCCACTGGGCAGGTTTCCCCGTGTGTCCTGCAGGCGCTTAAAACCCAACCTCGTTGTTTCAAATAACCACACTCTTGAGTATTTGGGCCACATCTACTCCGAGTATCTACCCCGTCCCTCAAGCTAGACATCTTGGTGGCATTTTTCACCTCCCAAATGTCCACCAGTGGTTAGTGGCCAAGCAGAGGGCTGGCAGAGTGCTGTGCTGTGGAGTGTGGGGAGCTGCGGGGCCGGGGCGTCATTACCCGTCGCGGATCAGGTAGTACTTGGGGACCTCGTCCATCGCGGATGTGGGCGTGGCAAAGCAGCTCTCCACCAGGCTCTGCAGCCCACTCACGTGCACCAGGGGCTCGATGCCGAAGTAGAGGGCGTCCCGCAGCTTGAGCGTGGGCAGGGCTTCCCGGTAGGGCTCCTCAAACTCCTTGTCCTTGAAGATCTCCAGGATGAAGGGGAAGACGCCCCGGCTGCGGCTGCGGATCTCCAGCGGGGGGTTCCGCAGGTTGGGGACGTAGCCTTCGGAGATGGTGTACAGGCGCGGGAACTCGCACGCCACCGGGATCAGCAGCTTGCTGGTCCGCACGATGACGTCTCCGCTGCTTCCAGGGGTCTGCTTGGGGAGGCCTGTCACCAGATTGCTGGCCACGATCTTGTCGTTCACCACCTGCGCCAGGCCGGGGAAGAGAGGGCGAGACGCTCCGTTGATGTGCGTGCGCAGCGGGAACGGCCCCTGCCCGCGGCCCTGAGGGTTAATGCGCGTGCCTCAGAGGAAAGGCCTGGCGATCGGCTCTGAACAACCAGCCCTTGAAAAGACTGGAGCAAGGTCTCCTCAGACCCGCTGGGAGGGCTACAGGGACTGGGGTTCCCCGTTAGGCGGGCAAGTAACATCATCCCGGGTGGCTCAGCCCCAACGTCTTCAGAATCGGACATACAAGGACCCAGCAAATGACACCCCTCTCCCCTATCTTTTCGGAGAGGGTAGCACCCCCTCAGACGCTCTTGTCCCTGAACTCATCCACGCGAACTTCCCTTATCGCCTGTAAGCCGAGGGTTTGCAATTCCTTATCTCTAGCCTCACCTGGGCGCCCCAAAGGCAAGCTCCTGACATGGCGTTTCCATGCAATTAATTACCTAGCGTATCATCAAAGCCTGGTGATCGGCAGTAGGACTACCTTCTCCCCAAATCTCTCTCTGCCCCGCCCCAAGCCTGACTGCAGGTGCTGGGTGCCACTGCGTTGATTGCAGTCACAGT